TCCTCAAGAAAAGGAAAATTCACCTGCCTTGGCCTGGGTAACCTGGCAGTATTCAGCCCACATGCAAAACGTGGAACGTTCTTCTTTTTATAAAGATTATTGTACCATGAATTATTTGGCACACGGTCTTGATTTAGACGTTTGTCAAATATACATCACCATCTAAGGAAACACTGGTGACCCAAGACTGCTCCACCCAGAACCGATCCGAAACCAGTTCTAACCAGTTTGGAACCGGTCCAAACCGGTTTGCGGTCGGCCTAAGAAAACTAGTCGACCAATAAGGGAAAACGGGGGTCACCATGACAACGAAGAGGCCAATGAAAGCACAGCAAATGGCCGCAATTATTCAACAGAATTGAAGGGAAACAAACAACTAATCAAAATCCTCGAACAAAACTATATAACCTCGGTCACACTGGGGACTGGCGCTTTCCGAAGTTGCGCTGATGATGTTGCCTAGCCTGCCTACGAAACGTCTGCGAACAACCCTTCCAGTTTGGAGAACACACCAATATCAACATATCACAAGTGTTTTACAACGTGAGGGCAAGCATGCATGCTGAACATTTCCACAATATTGTTAGGGCCATTAAGACCGTCGCTCTGCATCCCGGGTACTTCGCTCAATAGAACAACGCTGAAATTAAATGTTACACGTCGATATTCTGGTACAAGGATAGAACATGGTCGGGGTGGTAGGTCTAATTCTTTTTGTACAGGTTTTGTACCATAATTTATCTGTTACGGTCTGAACCTACGGTCCGGGCTCATCTCTGGGTCGCGGATACGGGAGAACGACCACCATAAATAATTATGCATTACTTCGAAAATTGGATGATCACGCAAGATGAGTGGTTATGCCCCAATTGAGAGCTCCGCAATGAGAAACCACAACTATCCGTAGAATAAACACATCGCCAAAAAATCGCAGCTTTCCACGTGACCCTAAGTGGTGCAAAGGAATTAGTCCGGTCTTCGATGATGTAGGTCGAGTAATACAAGGGATGTCACTTCATTAGGCTTCCAAGATTTTTCATGAATTTATCCAAGAGGACAGAAGAACCTTCAGTGAAAGAAATCCACTAAGAGCATCAAAACAAAAACGTATTAGCTTTGTTGTCAACAGAGTAACAAACAAGTAACTCCAGCGAAAATTACTGCTCAGGATAAAATGGAGTTATATATTAACTGTGAGGGAGACGTGTTGGAGATGGCGGATAGGAATAGATATGATTATCGATATAAAACATTTAAGAAAAACATCATTCATCAACGACCAGGTGATAGACGAGACGAAACATCAGTGTACTCACCCCACAATGCGTTCTGCACGAGACTGCGCTTCGTGTATTCGAATTTGATTGGCATCCGCCTGAAGACAGATTAACGAGAAAGAATGACACGAGTTGGTAAAGACTCAACAACATATCACTTATGACAATACTGAGGCGGTGGTGGCCTGGTGGTAAGGTCACCAAATTATCACCCCGGGAATGTGTTCGAATCCCGCCATCACCTGACTTCCTCCATTGTGTTGAATGGCAGCCTTTAATTGGCCGCTTGCCCCTTCCTGAAAATTGTATCTTTGTATATTCGACAAAAGGAAGTAAAATGAAAAGAAAAGAAAGAGCTGTAAAAAGTGAAGGTATGCTCCGTTTATACTCGTGGCCTAATTTAGTTGGTACAGTGGTCTTGTGAGACGAGGCAGGTCATGTGAACAACCAATAAACTGTTTTTTTATCGAATAGCCCACAATAACTATTGAATGTACAAACGGATGTAAAAACTAGCCCCAGTTAAAATACAGTGTTTCTTTTTGGTTGGTTAGGTTCAACTAATTACTGGGTACATTGATTGAAAACCCATTGTATTATGAGATGAATCGATTTTAAATTTCAGTTTGAGTATTGAAAACAACCGCTAAAGAATCGGAAAGCTTCGATGGCGTGATTTGAACCTACTGGAGTAAATTAACAGACAATAAAGTCTGATGACACCACGGTATTAATCACGGCTGTCGAAAGATTATGCTGACAAATAAAACGATATCAATGCTCACATCATTGCAACTCAATAGAATCCGGATCAGATAACCAATCACAACGAAACCTAGCTCCCTCTTCGCATACCACCATTCGATTGTCTAGTTCCAGCTTTTGAAGGTTGTACACCTCAGTCAATCCAAATGACACCCCGAGAGTTATCTCCTGTTGAAAACGTTGTATTTGACATTTGATATTGTTTTCACCATATCCTGTGTCTAACTTCCGTATTGTGAAACAGGCCGTCTGTCATGTTCGGTTCGGATTCATCGACATAACGTACTGATGCTCCCATGAAAAAAACAGCATGCGGTTCCCGAGACATGCAATCTTTGTAGCTCTTTTATCGTGCATCTTAATATGATGAACAACTGAAAAGGGTGCCCTATAGACCCAATGATCTGCTGTTTCGCAACGGGAACCGGCAATTGAAGCCTTCAAAACAGTGGTGGTTATACGGAACGCTACATACAAATCGAATAGGAAAAAAGTCAGATGTGGGTTCTGATATAGACCCTGGTACATCTAGAGTCCTGAGTCAGGCGTAAGTGAAGACAGGACAAAATCTATCAGCGAACGTATTTCGTTTGCATGTCGATGGTTGGGGTTGAGAAGCACAAACTAGTATAAAACGTACCTCTGTGATCCCAGGCTGTCTGTTCTTTAACACTAGTTCCGTTGTTACTTTCACTTGTATAAAAGAACGATTGGATATCATCGACGGCTACGATGTTATTATTGATCGGGATATTATTTTATTCAGGCCATACATGGATAATAACATGCCATAGGTGTGTGTGTGTGTGTGTGTGTGTGTGTGTGTGTGTGTGCGAATATGACTAGTTTCTTCGAATGGTACCAATCGACCCCGTTATTTTAATTTATGGTGTGGGTAGATGGATATGCGCACTTTAACATGACTGACGTGAGGATATCGCGAGAGCGCATTCGACTGGGGTGAAAAGCGTGCGATGGTCGTGAATAACCCATTTGATTGACCACATGCATGACAGAAGCGGGGTTAAATCTGTATGAGAACACAATTCACACCGATTATGTGATAACGAGATAACGATCGAGATGCAAGAGCTAGGGTGCACCTATATTCGCCCTACAACTTGCACGGTTCTTCGATCGAGAACGAACACAAATAGAACCAGTGAATACAGACTGCATCGTGTAGTCCAGATTTGTCAACGATTCGAAGAGAGAGACTCTTCCGACACAACAGATTCGGGTGGAGCACGGATAGCAAGGAAAAGTATCAATGTAAACGAAAATGACTCAACGTAAAATAACTATAAAGTATGGCTGATCTCAAAGCATTAAGTGCAGACCTACGCTGAAATCCCTCCGGATCTCTGTTACTTTTGTGTGATGCTAATCTGTTTTTAATCCCAAGCCCACATCGTTACACGGACTGCGGAGAAACATGAGGTTGAACAGCTGTGTTATGAAAGCTTCTTAATGTGTTGAGATGGTAATCAAGGAAACAAATAATTCGACCAAAAAATGGCCATGCAAAAAATTGACCGAAAATTGATCTACCCGTTTCGTTTCGGATAAGCGACAGTAACATTTTATCAAGAAAAATCACTTTCTCACAAAAGCGATCAGCACCATGCATTCGCATCACGTGACAAACGCAGAGTTCATATTTCCGGAAAAAATGAAAGAAACGGCATAGATTCGGATTCTAATGGAGCTACACTTGACAACAAATATTACACAAATCGGACGATCACGGGGTAGGAGAAAGACAGAAAAGATGCCATCAGTAAACCAATCACATGACGCATTCTCTGGGTATTTGTTTCACATAAGACCTTACCACTAGGCCGTTGGCGCAAATGAGAGATAAGAACAATCTGATACAAGCAGCCGACTACGTAGAATCGAGAGAAATAGTATCCCACAAGTGTTAACTGCGGTGGTTTGGAAAAAAAAACAAATTATAATGAGGTCCTGCTCTTGTGGGGTCGACACATTGGTAATGTTGATGACACTCACCAAGAGTGATATCGTTATGCATTATTTCTCAGATTTTCAGCTCACTTTCTTTACGCTCTATGGTATGAAGTCTGCTCTACGATTCAATCGAATGATCCGTTAATGTACCGTGACCATGTTAAACGGAAGCGAGCTAAATCATTTTCGTTACCTAACGCGAAAGTTGCGATAGACAGAACTTTTGAACACAGAAAAATAGCAGTTAATGTTTAGATGAACTGCAATAACAAAATGAGCAACACAGTCTATGCAAATAATATCGAGTTAGGGAATACAGAAAATGGAACAGTTGGCATGATGCGGATAGGTCATTTCGGTTGAAGAAATAACACTGTGCACACTACGAATCGCATTGATAGAAACGGCTGCATCCGAGAGAAAAAGATGGTAAAACTGGTGATGATAATTGATAATATGTGCCCATTCGAACAGTTTTCGTTTGTACAACCATTAACTATGCACTTTCGTACGCCGGTTTTGGTCGCTGTCGTTTGGCTGCCCATTTAGACGAAGCAGGAGAAAGACAGGAAAGTTGAACATGATCTAACAGTCTTTTTCCGGGAAAATGTAGTTGGAAGACTTAGTCTGCCTAAAATTTCTATCTCCACATTAACACTGCTTCGAAAATTCTAATCTTGAATCCATTCCTGCATCCAAATGGGGACTCAAAAACCAGCCGCCGCACGAAACTGAATGGTTAATAATTGTATGAACTGTAGTTGAAACCATGAAACCAACTTAATCTCGCGGAGAAGAAAGTGGTATAAAAGTAAAAATATGCTATCTGAATAATTTTGCTGATAAAGGTAATCTAACAAAGAAATGCAATGGTAACAGAGTTGAGCACAGAAAACTGTTGGCAGACCAAGTAAATATCCCTTTCAAGTTTGGGTAAGCGATCATCGTTGTAATTGATAGCAACGTAGCCGTAGAAAATATAACAATTTACTTTGATGAAAAAGAACGAGTGGAATGGCGATTGATGCCCAGCAGTATACGGCAAGCACTTTTGTGCGTGTTTTTGTACTGGTACTGCTGTATTGTGAACCAAAAAGAGAAACATCGATTTACCTTACGATCAATACGATCAAGTACTTCGTTGTGTGTGCGAATTTCCTGACCCATGTCTCCGGCCATTACACGCAAATCACCAACCATGTGAGCCACTTGTTGTAGGTTTTCCTCCATCTCATCTTCTCGGGCATCGTTGGTGATCCTAGTACGAAGAATAAAGCAACACAGAATGAACGAAACTGGGGTATAGCTGCATTGTCAAATGCACACCAAAAAGGTGCCATCTGCAAAACTGAGCTTGTTAGGAAGCGCTGCATAATATTAACTAAATGGATAACTTAAAGGAATCCTCTTACATGAACTGTGTGCAAACACAGAAAGTAAATTATCTTCGAACTGATGCAAAATAAGAAAACGAGATTACTGGTAGCACATCATATCACATTTAACTTGCTTGAGACAGTTGCCATCACTAGGAAATGCATACTGGGATTTCTTACAGCTTGCTTGCCCATCTGCGCGGAATGTTGCCCTCCATTCATGCACTTCATTAGC